CCGAGGTTAGAAAGATCTCTACTAAATTTTACAAGAAAAATTTAAAGCCTTATTTGAAGGATCAGCTCATGATTTGGAGTGACCTGGATAAATATACTTTTGACGAACAAAAGGTGCTGAATGCTTTAAAAGAATTTAATTCATACTACGCTTCTACCGCAAATTAAAAATCAGGGGCTGGCATAAAAATTACGGCTCTTCCTTAGTAATCTTTAAAATTAGAAACATGAATACAAAAAACACTCAACTCATTAGCTTGCTGGCAGAATGTGCAGATGCCTGCGGGAATTGCTCTACAGCCTGTCTGGCGGAAAAAGACGTTCAAAAAATGGTGGAATGTATTCGCCTGGATATGGATTGTGCCCAGATGTGCCAGGTTACCGCTGCCTTTATCAGCAGGGGCTCCGATCATGCTAAACACTTCTTAAAAGAGTGTGCGGAGATCTGCAGAAAATGTGCGGAAGAATGCAGCAAACATTCTCATATGGATCATTGCAAAATTTGTGCAGAGGCTTGCAGGAAATGTGCAGAAGCCTGCGAAAAAGCGATTTAATTTGTTACGTTTGGAGATGGCTTACTTCTGAAAATTGAATGCCAAAATAAACAAATTTAGCTATGAAGCCGGAAGACAGCATCTTGTATTGGACACAGGTAAAAACATTCAGAAAACGCGTATGGCAACTCTTTGCCCCCTACGCGATCCTTTATGTTTTTCTCTTCTCTTTTGTTTTTCTGAATGACAATAGTTATAAACCCATTGCTCTTTTATGGATTATGTTCATCAGCCTTATAGCACTTGGTATATTCATTGGGTGTTACACATGGGCTCTAAATAAAATCACTAAAATTTCAGAAATAGAAGGTGGCCTGGAAATTGAAATGGTGACGAAAGATAAAATGCGTCGATGGCTGGTGTCAGGTAAAGACTTAACACTGTCCTCTAAAAGAATAGCGCGACGCCCCTCCATGCTTAAATTAAGTCTTTTTGATCTGGATAAGAAGATCGTGGATTTATACTCGTCCGGAAGCTTTAAGGACCTTGGTGAGATGGAGAAGCTGAAATATGAACTCACAAAATATCTCGGTGCGGCAC